AGAAACTCGCCCACACCATCGCTTGATTCAGTAGAGCACTCACTACCAGAGAACGCAAGATACTGGTCATAAACTGCCCTCTTCCCGTTCTTCTTCCTCTTTCGTTTGACCCTCGCAGCCCCGTCTGCTGGTGGCAAACCCGTTTGTGGTAACACGAAACCCCCGTTGGCCGGGGAGCATTCAGTATTCTCCCACATTGAAGCTAACACTTCGATAGACACAAAAGAATATGTTCGGTAACAAAAAAAAAAAAAAGAAGCAACCCCCGCCAATGCGCACAACTTGCGCATACACCCCCCACAAGACACAGCAGCCCATGAATTATTTCAAAACATTGAATTCTTGCGTCGTGTAGTAAATAAACGTCCGATTCAATTTAACTTTCGATCATCAGCCTTGCTTATTGGGAGCACTATGCTGGCGAGGATTACCCAGAGAAATTCATAAAAAAAAAAAAAAAAAAATTAGCAGTCAACAGGCTCTAGTTTGGGCGTGCAATTTAGAAAACTACCAATAAAACGAGGAGTTTGCAATTGCCAAAACTCGCTAACCTCGCATTCATATTAACCCCATATTTGCTTCTCAATTTTGGGACAAATTATCAAACCTCATCCACGCTCTCTCATGGAGTGATGACATCAAATCCAACTCCGGGGCCTCCAGCGCAACACAAGACGAAAACAGCCTCGACGAAACAAGATAAGGATCTGCATCGCCAGCAGGTCGCCGATCCTCCATGTATCCTTTCTGCTCTGCGGCAACAGCGTTGGGAATACGAATCGAGGTATGCCTCGTACCAACTCCGGCGGTCACCTCGTTTGGCCTTGAAGACTCGTGCCTCCCCGTTAGTCGTTCATCGTTTTCAGCGCCATAGAAAATAATATCCTTTGACAAGGTTTTCTTCAACCTCTCCACATATTCGTAGATTACGCTCAGTCCATTCTCAGCCCGAGTGGAGGCTGTGGAAAAATTTGTATGAAGCCCGCTGCCATTCCAATCACCCCGGATGGGCTTTGCGCGATAGTCCACGTCCAAATTATCACCTTCCAGAATCCGTAGCAATACCCATCGTGCTACAGTCAACTGATCTCCCATTTCAATGCCCTCACAGGGGCCCACTTGAAACTCCCACTGGCCAGGCGCAACCTCTGCATTTGTGCCAGAGATATTCAGCCCCATCTGCAGGCATACTTCATAATGCAAGTCAACATATTTCCTCCCAGGAGCAAAGGAGGCGCCCGTAGAGCAGTAATATGGCCCCTGTGGAGCCGGAAATCCGTTTGATGGCCAACCGTATGGAAGTCCATCCTTCATCAAAAAAAATTCCTGTTCCATTCCAAACCAAGGGTGCTCATCTTGCCCCCGCTCAAATATGCGACGCGCCGTGGCACGCGAGTTGTCTTTTGTTGGTTCACCATTTGGTAGGCAGCACTCAGCCAACACAAGAATCCACGGTATTGTTGCCGAGCGTCGAGGAATGCAGCAGTGGTATGCATTAACTGGATTAAGAAGGATCTCAGTATCTGCGCCATGGGCCTGGTTTGTCGAAGAGCCATCAAAGTTCCACACAGGGAAAAGCCCCTCGGTAAGCAGCTCTTTGGGATGCTTCGAAATTTCATTAGCCGTCAGATACGCCGTTCGGTCCTTACTGCGGATGTCGTGATGGGAATCCCTACCGGAGAGCCAGATATACGTTACCCTGCAGGCGATTCTCTTCTCCAACGAGTCCGTCATACTTTTTGTGTTTTTTTTTGTTGTTAACAGCTTGAAGCTGCAAAGAAAAAAAAGGAGGAAAACTCGAATTTTGATCAAAGGAGATTAGGCTCAATAATGAAACATTTACATTTAGTTGCTTTATTTGAAGCGGAGTAATACTGCCAAAAACAGCATCCCAAAAAAAAAATATGAAAAAAAGAACCATTTTAGCTGCATTGTCCGTTTATAGTAATGACGCCATTCACTGTAAAGTATATCCTCTACAGTTGAATGGATACTAAAAAAAATCCCATCTTCAAGAATGCCCATAATTTCCACCATTGGTCAGGTGGTCTAAGGGCGAAAAACGCAAAGAGAGCAAAGTTTGCAAAAAAAAAAACACCTTTCCTTGAGGTGCTTCCCTATATATCCCACGAGAAGGTCCCATAATGGGAGATCGCAGCTTTAGTTCCGCATATTCGACACACACACACACACACACACACGCAGTCACAGTCACCATAATATTATCCCACAGTCATTACACACGCACAAATACCCAAATAAGTGCATGAAGTACAGGCGATGATAACTGGGCTCCCGCTGTGAACCGACGAAGTGGCGGTCTTTAGGGCCCTGCAGCCACCAGGCTCCTCCGCGCGGAGGATCATGGCAGGTATTAGTTTGGGGAAGAAACGAAAAAAACAACACCAACACCGCACACACCATCTT